CCTAGTTTTTTCGAAATGCTAGAAGAAAGTCTGGACTCTTTATAGTGACACAAATAAAAATTTAGGAAAATATAACTAATTGGACCCATTAAAGGTTGATGATAATTTTTTTATATTACATGTGAACGTTGGTGCAAATATTTAAAAATGCGTGAGACATGATACGACTCCATACCTGAATGCCGTGTTCAGTTCAGGTTTATGGATCACATACGTTCTGACCGATGACTCACCAAAGTTAATAAAATTAGTTGTGCTTTAGAACTCCTCAAGTCAGATTTATTGATATTTGGTGTACTTTGTTATATATGTATACGTGTGTGAGATTACGTTTGATTTTGCAATCACAATGGAAAAGAAGAAATTGTGATTACTTACGGGACACAAATAGAATTAAAAGAGAAAAAAAAAATGAAACTATCGTCGTTTTCTAAGCAGTTAACTTTAATTTCAATTATAAAGATTTATTCACTCCAAATAAGAAAATATTTTTCATTATTATTGTTTCTTAAGTAAAACATCAAATATTCCATCTAACACAATTCAATCCATAGAAAAATTACAGAATTCAAACAATTAAAAAAATGTAAATAATAATTTTGTATAGAAACCTGAAAACATCACTTAGTTTAAAAAAAAAAAAATCTTACTATGAAATGAAACATACTTAAGAAGCAAACTGATTTCAAAGCCATGGGATGGGAGCAAACTACATGCCGTTTTTTTTAATTCGTTAACATTGTGGGCCCCACTCTCTGCTTCATCTCCTGGCCTCTTAAAAACCCTACTTTGTGTTTCCTTCAAACCCTAATTACCGACGACGGGAACTCAAAGTTCCCTCTCGGTTATACAGCTTCCTTCTACTCCTCTCGTTTCCATGGGTTCCGATGGATCCAAATCTGGTCGGAAAAGACGAGAGCTTCGCGCAAAACATTTGAAGAAGCTCACGAGTGAAGAAGATGACTCTGGAAACCTTGTCAAGGACAACAACAATAGAGCTCCGAAGAGGATAAGGGAAAGCGAATCTGATAATGATGAGCCTCTTATGAAGAAATCAGCAGCTTCTATTAAGGTTGTAGAAGCTGATAAGCCAAAGAGTGAACTTGCCAAAACTTCTGATTCTTACTTGTCTAAGACAAGGTAACATTGTTTGGTGTTTTTCTTTCTTGGTTATGCTTTACTTTTACCCATTAGACTATCTTTGAATGTTTAGGAGATTGCTTCAGAGCTTTTCTTATGTATGTATGTATGTGACTTGCTTTCACTACCATTTTAGTGATTTTTGATTTAGAATGCTCTTTATTGGTTAAATTGCAGATTTGATCAGTTCCCACTGTCTCCCTTGTCGCTGAAAGCAATTGCGGATGCTGGATTTAAGACAATGACTGTTGTGCAGGAGGCTACTCTTCCTATCATTCTCAAAGGTGATCTCCTTTTTTCTTTCTTTTGTTCTCGTTGGAGTTGCTTATAAGGCAGAAAGATAACACACTATGATTGAGAAATGTTAGAGACGATTTCTAATTGACCGTAGCTCACGAGCTTTTACAGATCACTTTGCATCTTTCTTGGGGATTCTGCATATTTTGCCATGACTTCCATTTTGAAGCTTAGTTGACTGCTCATTATTCCTCTAATATTTCTTCTTTAACTTGTTGGTTTTCCAGGTAAAGATGTGCTAGCCAAAGCCAAAACAGGAACTGGGAAAACAGTTGCATTTTTGGTGAGACATTTTACCCTCTGGTTTCATGTATATAAGTTGGAATTAATCGGTCTTCAATTGAGATTTGTTCTTATTTTTTATGTTTATATTTCAAGCTTCCATCAATTGAAGCTGTTATCAAATCTCCTCCTGTAAGCCGGGGTAATAAGCAACCCCCAATTATTGTGCTTGTGGTATGCCCTACTCGGGAACTGGCTTGTCAAGCTGCTACAGAAGCAAACACCTTGGTGAAGTATCACTCATCTATTGGTATTCAAGTTGTGATTGGAGGCACAAAGCTTCCTACAGAGCAAAGGCGTATGCAAAAAGCTCCTTGCCAGGTAAGAGATCTCTATTGCCGCTCCATGTGTATTGATGTGAAGTTTCTTCTGAGCAAACCTTGTACTTCATTTAAGCTGTCCTTCTAAGATAGAAGATGTTACCAATGTAGATATGTCCCTGTCCAAGTTAGGATTATTCGCCCATTTAAGTATTCATATGTTATGTTCTTTCTTTTAGCCTCTTATGAATCTGCCTTTTTTTTGTAATATCTGTCTTGCCTGCAATTGAAGTGGCTGCTGATACAATGAGCTGTCTCCCTATATATTGTTGAGTAATCACATTTATGAACATTCTCAGATTCTTGTGGCTACACCTGGAAGGCTCATAGACCATATCAAGAACTCTTCTGGATTTGCCACAAGGTTAATGGGTGTGAAAGTCCTTGTACTCGATGAAGCTGATCAGCTCTTGGCCATGGGTTTCCGAAAAGATATAGAGAGGATAATTGCTGCGGTGCCTAAGAAAAGACAAACATTTTTATTTTCTGCCACGGTACCTAAAGAGGTAAGTCCAGTTTCTTCTAGCACAAAAGGCTCTCATTTTTGGGTTGGAATCTTGAATGATTTTTTTGTGTCTAGGTCCGCCAAATATGCGATATTGCTATGAAACCTGATCATGAGTTCATTAATTGTGTTCAAGAGGGTACTGACGAGACACATCAAAAGGTAAAAGATTTCGCTTTAGGTTCTGTTAGGATGTTATCGGTTTCTCATGTCTAAGTTATCTCCCAGGTCACACAAATGTTCATGATTGCATCACTGGATAGACATTTCTCGCTTCTATATGGGCTTCTTAAAGAACACATAGCAAATAATGTGGACTACAAGGTAAAATTGTTCCTCTAGTGCCATTGTCAATCATCAATGTATTTCTGAACTAACATGACCTCCTTGTTGCTTCAGGTTATTATTTTCTGCACAACTGCTATGGTTACAAAATTGGTGGCTGAATTGCTTGGTAAGCTAAGCCTGAACGTCAGAGAGATCCATTCTAGAAAACCACAGAGTTACAGAACCAGAGTTTCGGATGAGTTCCGCAAGTCGAAGGCTATTATCCTTGTAACATCTGATGTATCTGCTCGTGGTGTGGATTACCCTGATGTGTCACTAGTTGTACAGGTAAACCATATAGTAAATTTTCATCAAGGAACTGAGCTGCAACTATAAAGTTAATTGTTTTTCCTGAAGTTGTTGTTGTGTATATGTTGGTTTTGCAGATGGGATTGCCATCAGACAGGGATCAATATGTACATAGACTAGGCAGAACCGGGAGGAAAGGTAAGGCAGGGGAAGGTGTACTAGTGTTGGCACCGTGGGAAGAGTATTTTCTGTCGTCCGTTAAAGACATACCCATCACTAAGTCTCCTCTACCCCCAGTAGACCATGAGGCTGTGAAAAGGGTAAGGCTTGGACTTAGAATCTCTATACAAATGCCATTGTTGGAATTTGTCTCACAACATAAACCTCTTTGAAGTCAAGATCTTCAAGAGTATTTGAGTATTGATGGAAAATTTCTTGTTGGATATGATGAATCCAGGTGAAGAGGGGGCTTAGCCAAGTGGAAATGAATAGCAAGGAGGCGGCGTATCAGGCGTGGTTAGGATACTACAAATCTCAGAAGATGATTGCAAAAGACACGACCAGACTAGTGGCATTAGCCAATGAGTTTAGCCGCAGCATGGGCCTTGACATCCCACCAGCTATCCCAAGAAATGTTGTTTCCAAAATGCGTCTCCAAGGTGTTCCTGGTATTAGAACCAAGTAGAATTTTTGTTCTTCTAATGCTTTTCAAGTGTGTAATCTCTTGTCATTCTTGCCACACTTCGACTTTCTAATTATAAACACCTATATAAATGTTACCTTCTCATGAATGGAATTGAAGATACTGGCGAGGGAACAGTTTTACTGTTTTTCACTTATTAGTAACGTATATTCATAAATGGTTCATTTTCCTGCCAAGGCAAAGTTGCAATGCCATCGAACTTTTCGAACCACACTCCTTGCTCATTAAATTCCAACCTCTAAAAGAGGTATAAATTGACAGCTTTGTAAATTTGTATATAAGGTTTAGCCTAATTGATCCAATTCTTCTGTAACAAAGCTTAGGGATATAGCCACTAAACAAAATCAGACAGATGCATTGAAGCATTTTGAGAACAGTAAAACGAAACTTCTAATTTCCCCGGTAAAACGAACAAATGGAACCTCAGAATCAAAGAGTATTTGAAAAGAAGGTGATGATGAATGGCAACTTGAAAAACAAAATCCAACACCATCTTTCTACTTAGGTAGGCTTTTAGCTTTTACCATACCCATAAGGCTATGCCTTTTGTTGTAACTTGTAAAGCTCTACTAGACCCTAAAGAAGAATAAAAAGAAAAACACAGAGAGAAGGCAGACCGAAAATGGCAAGTTTGGCAACTGCGAGCTTTTCCTATACAGAATTGCATTCTGCTATGTTTAGTCCTCTTTCCACTTGTTAACATATCTCATGAAGGCACTAGCTGGATTTTCATGAAGTGGAGCTCGTACACGAGTAGATCTCCTAACCACTGCTTCTTCCATTTCTATGTTGTGAGCAATGTCCTTTGTCCTCTTTTGTAGTGTGGAGCTGCAAACACACAAGTCATTACCGGGTTGTAAAGACGTGACACAAAAAACAATTGAGACTTAAATAAACGCAGCTTTACTGACCATATTCTGTCATAGAAGTTCTCCAGCTGTATGTGTAAAGACAGTTCCCTCTCTCCTTTACGGTTTAGTGATCCCATCAGCGCATCGAGCTGGATTTTAAGAAACAAACACAAGTTTAAGCAAGATCTATACAACCAATGTTCAACCAAACAAATAAAACCATAGCATTAATGATACCTCTTCCTTGGAGGTATAATATCCCCATTCTTTGGAATCAGAATCCTCTACAAATATCCTCCCATTGCTACGGAACCACCAGTACCTGTTGTAATCCCGATCTTTACCCAAGGGGTTTGGACGTATGACTATTTTCTCCATCTCTCGCTCATAATATAGCCTCTGCATGTTAAATAAAACGTTCAGACTTGATGGGTCAAAGCAATAAGTGTGCATATGCAAACAACCACATATCAACAATAATAATGAGGTGATGAACTCAACCCTCTGTTTAGGGCCCCTCCTTTCTGAAGTTCCTTTC